TATGAGATTGGAGACTTCTTTGTTTTGTTTACTGTAGTATCCCAGATCTTGGAAAAGTGTTGGGTGCATAGTATGTGTTCCTCAATAAATATTTGTTATTAAATGAATCAGTCTTTAGCTTCTAGAATTATACCTGACACACAGTATGGGTTCAAAAATGTTCTCAAATTAATAAATAAATTAGTGAATGAATGAATTAATGTTAAATCCATGTTTAATGAATGCAATGAAGAGACAGTCTTTGTAATCCGATCCTCATAACAATGCTGGAAAATAAGTAGAATGGGTACTATTATCTTCATTAGACAAATGAAGTAGCTGAGTCCCAGGAAGGTTAGGAGCCCAAATTAAAGCTACATGGGTAGCCTAATGTTTGCTGCTCTTTTCAATCCACTATTAAAAGGTAAAAACGATCCTTTGCACTAGGTTCAGTATGAACCTCTAACATTTACTACACTGTTTTGATTCCTCTTGACTAGGAAGGCAATTAACAGGAGGTTCAAGGTGCTAATACTTTTTATTACAATGTGTGTCTTTCCTTATTAGGTCCTTTTCATAAAACAGATCCTTTTCAAAAGTGGATTGGGCACTCATACAATTTTACCCCTCACAGTGGATTGTACGTGACTACCCAAGAGGATGTCATACTATAAATCCTGCCAGAATGAACTGGAAGGTGAGCATAGCATTCATAGCTTGATGATGCACAGGCTGTTTGGTGCCAAGTCAGTGCTAATGGAGATGTCCTCTATGTGTTAACACCCAAAGGAGAACAAATTCAACAACAAAACACTTTGGTTTTCGGCATGTCTGTAGAGAGTTAACTTTCCATTGTTCAAGGGTTAATTATCCATTATGTGAATCACTTCTCTTTCTCCCTCTGGCTCTTACCTCTAGAAATTTAGTGTACTGGAGGATAAGCAGGAAAAATAAAAAGATGAAAATGAAACCAGTACAATTCACTTATATATATTGGAAGCTCTAGAAAAGACTCCCATATAGAAGACAGAATTTGATATAGTTTGGGGATTGCCAAGTTGATTGATCATAGATAATAGATATTATTAAAGCATATCTTACACAGTATTTTGGTTTTGTTTGTTACAGTCGGTTTGTAGTATATGAAGTTACTCCCTGGCTGTGCTTCATGTCAACAGCAAACCATTTAGGGTGTGAAAGAGGCCCTTTCCTCCGATGTCCCAGAGCACTGCAGATTCTTTGAAGTGGTTTTTTTTATGTATGAAACTACGTATAAGTCAGCGGTTCTCAACCTGTGGGTCACCAACCTGTGGGTCGCGACCCCTTTGGGGGGTCGAACGACCCTTTCACAGGGGTTGCCTAAGACCATCGGAAAACACATATATAATTACATATTGTTTTTGTGATTAATCACTATGCTTTAATTATGTTCAATTTGTAACAATGAAAATACATCCTGCATATCAGATATTTACATTATGATTCATAATGTAGCAAGATTACAGTTATGAAGTAGCAACGAAAATAATTTTATGGTTGGGGGTCACCACAACATGAGGAACTGTATTAAAGGGTCGCGGAATTAGGAAGGTTGAGAACCATTGGTATAAGTGGTTAGAGGACAGGTACTGCATTTTATATTTATTTATCTCCTTCCCAAATAATGTCAAACTGCCTCAATCTGAATGGAAGAGCAATGAACAGGTGATGAGTGAGTGAATGAATGATTGCATGGCTGTCCATATGCCAATACATTGACAGTGAATACATCTTGCTGTATATCATAAGTGATAAATGAAAGCTATAGATTTTTAAAATGCTATCAACGGAGAAGGGGAAATTCACTCTTCATTCAGGTTATTATGAAAAGGTTCAGAGAAAAAATGGAACTTGACAAGGATGTGACTTGCCTCAGTATCTTTAAAGGCATCTGAAAAATTGTAGTTGCTGATGCTGATATGTAAGTAAAGCATCAAAGTATTTCAAGTATAACTAAATAGATGAGAAACTAGAATAAACTGGGTCATTTGTGCATATACTCATTCTTACAATATAGAGTGAATTCACTAAATACATTCTCAATTTTAAGATAATAGAAATTTATTTTCTTTCCATTTAATTTTAAACTACTTTATACATATAGCAATTAATACTTTTATGTTGTGCATAATAGAATTTAGATTTATCATCTAACATGCATATTTGATAAAGAATAATTACTAATCTTACCAGCTAAACAAATCTTACCTTTTACAGGTACTGTTCATTAGTATTTGTGTAAAATTTCTGTTATAAGTGTGATAAAATGTCAACAATACTTTACTTATGATCAATTTAAAAAAATGTTTCATTGAATTCAAAGAAAGTAAGCCTAGCTAATATTTGGTTATATTTTAATCTTGAATATAGGTATATGATTATGAATGTGCATATGCGTTTATAAGATAACAAAGATACACAATCACATGATACAATGAATCAACCCTTTCTTAACTTTTAAAACATGTATCTTTTTAAATGAATCACATAAGTATAAAAATCTTTTGTATACAAATAAGAAAGAATAATTTCTTATTGGGTCAATCATAATTCTGTTATTTAGCAATGTCATTTGTGTCTAATTATGACTGTCTCATTAAATGACTATAACATAGGAAGTACTTATAGCCAATGTGCATGCAAGGAGATATACATTTTAAAACATGCATCTTATGAAATAAAATTAAAAATTTCAGAATGAGCACTAGAATACTGAATTCTGAATAGTATACTATAAAGGTTTAAAGACAGGTTTTGGAAAAAAAATAGGTACTATTAACACAACCATTTAAGCAGAATGAAATACATCATTATCCTGCCTTTCTATTAGAGGTATACTGATCAAATTCTGACTCTTAGACACTAGCTTAGCTATGTGATTCTTCCACAGCCACGTGGAGCTCCAGATCTTGGCAACAATAAGAAAAATCTCTCTGGCAGGTTATCTTTGTTAAATGCCATTTCTTAGATATTTGTGTTTACCTATTCTCTGCTTAACAACACTGACAAAATTTTATATACAAACATAGAATATTTTAAAAATGTCTTCCAAGTGTTAAAAATCCAGCTTGCCTTTAAGGCAGTCCTAATAGACATCCCTAGACTAAACGACATTTCTCTGGGAGTCTGTGCAACCTGAGTATTAACTGAGGAAGACACAACCTCCTGTGTATGTCTTGGCAGTAATGGGCTAAAAGCTACTTACATGTTTTTAGACCGTAACTAAAATTTTATATCATCATTTTCCAATTCAACTTATTTCTTTAGCAAACAAGAAACCTAATGACAAACCCCCAAGAAACATTATATTTACAAATAATATGATCATAACTAATGTGCCTAACCAAAATAGGCAAATTATATACATTAAACTTATAGCACATATTGGTCTTAATAAAACTTGAAGACTGCCTCCTGTCACAGTGACACCTGAGGAGTTTGGTGTGCCTTCTAAACTACAGGAATTGTGACAGGAAGTGGACTCTGTTCCAGAGAGTCACTGACTCTCTGATGAGGCTGCAGCAGGGGGCAGTCTCTGTAGGGAACTCGGTTATATATGAGCACACATGAGTTACATGGTTAAGAATGTGAATCGCCGAGAGTAGCAGACAAAATCCCAAAGCTAAGTACCAATGTAATACGTTGGATGACTCCACCGGCTTGGACAGAGTACACACAATAGACATACACAGCACACATCTGGTTAAATGTAAAATAACTATTGCTAAAGCATTTTCAACTTTTAGGAGGAATCTACTGGCAGTGTGTTAATAGCAAGGAAAGCGAAAACAATTAAATAGCATCTCTTTCCAAATATTTAAGAACATCGAGTAAGTGCCCCTTAGGCTGGGTTGTGGTTCTTGGAAGTCTCAGCCTATGAGAACCATATTGGGGACATCAAAGGCTCCTCCCTCTCTCCAAAGAGCAATTCAGTTCAGATGCTGCCACAGAGCCAAATGCTTTTATGGCCACCATGTTTTTTGTTTGTTTGTTTGTTTCCACTCAATATTTTGGAACATGCCCGATTCTTGAAATTGAAAAGAAGACAAGAAAACACTGTAAGATCTAATGACCCTGGAGGAGCAACGAGACCTGATGGTAGAGGACACACACGTTTCAGCTGAAATTGACTCCAAAAGCAGGTCTGTTGACTCCTCTGTTAGTCTCATACTCGACAGGACGCAACCACCCCCATTCCACTCCTTCAACAACTTCCCAGAGCACATTCAATCAGAGTCTCTTGTATTGAGGACAATACTATATTTGGGTTTAATACTGTGAGGACAGTCATCTAGTTTTCCTATGTCAGGATGATAAATTTCCCTGAAACCAAATAAGGATTCTCATTGCATCCTTCTGTTCGATACCATGAATGCAGAAGAATAAAGAAGAAGGTGTGACAAATAATATTTTCCAAAAGGTTGGGTTGGGGGAGGTTCCCTAACATTGAAAAGCAACCAGTTTTTAGCAAAGAGATCTTTAAAAGAACAGTATTCACAATATTCTTTTGCTAAGCATCCACTTTTCTGTCTTGCTTAGCTGGGTACAGAAGTATTCTGAGCATAATGTAAGTGTTCAGAATAGAGATGCCTGAAATGTTGGCACAGAGAAACTTCAAATGCACGATGAATCCCACTTTCACTTCCCCCTCCTACCACCCCGAATAAGACCAACCTCCCCACTCACTCACCTATCTTCCTCCTCCTACCAGCATGTGTGCTAGGCATGTCAAGGCTGACATCCATGTGGGCAGCATGAAACCTATGCTGCGGGTCCTCCTGGCACACACTCTGCCACTGTGTATAGAGTGGTCTCGGCTGTGCACACTGAAATCTTCGCCATTACGGTGGACTGTTTGGTAGCTTTTTAAAAGAATTGTGTTTCCCCCCCTCTTTTTAAAAACACCGGTTATTTCCTGACTGCCTCAGAGACACCAAGAATAGAATCCTTGACACATCAAATTCTGGAACCTCACCACTCACCAAGACTGTGGTTCCTGATCCAAGGAGTGCCGACTGAGAATCAGCACAGTCTCTTGAGAGTGTCCAGGCCTGGCTGCTAAGCTCCCTGCTCTGATTAGCTTGTCGAGTTCACAGTGTTCCAGAGTGCTGAAGCACAGAAATTAGGGAGGGGAGGTGGAAGGAAAATCACTGGAGCCTCTTACGATCGAACTTCCACTAACTGAGAGGAAATGTCTTATAAATAAACAACAGCAACAGAAACAAAAAAAAACACACACCATCCCGTCCTGCCAGAGGAATGTACATTATTGTCTCCCGACGGAAAACTTTACACCACACCAGAATGCAGCCATGTCTCCTGAAACTACCTCCCTCGAAACAGAAAGAAAAAGGAGAATCAAGGAGAAAAGGAGAACAAAAAAAGGTTTTTTCATCCTCTTGAATTCTGTTGGGAAGTTCGTGTGCGTTCCCAGTAGACAAACTAAACTAAGCAGTTTCAACAGTGTCACTGTTCCAGGATTTCTTGCGGAGGCTGCTTGTTAGCAAAATTTCATTTCTGCCCAGATCATTGCTGTGCCATCCGGACATTTTCAGAAGGGAAGTTCAGGGAGGGGTGGGGGAGGGTTTGACTCTGGAGGAGAGGAAGAAGAGAGGACAAAGGAACACTCCTGGTGAACCCCAATGCCCTAGCCCCAGCCATGAGAAAGCCAGCCCCACCCTCCACCCAACTGCTGCTTGTTGAGGACTTGGTGATGCGGTGTGTTTAATCTACTTACTCTTTCTGCTCGGGAGGCTGAGGTTCCTATATTTCCAGCTCATGCTGGACTGTACCGTAAGCAACAAGTGAAATGAGTTCAGTGATCTCATTCTAGTCCTTCGACTCCTGTCCACATCGCTAAGCGACTGCACAGCTTGGCACAGGCCAGGATGAGTCAGCAGTCTCTGGTCATGAGAGGCCAGGCCTGGAATAGCAGGGGGGTTTAGGTCAGGAGCGAACTGAAGCAGAGGCCGTCTGGACGGCAGTGCTCTCGGCTCTGCAATGTGCGGAGACACTGCAGGTCACAATGAAAGAGCCTCATCAGCTAGTGGGTAAAGACTGTAGGATTGTAGAAAAAGAGAGCAGCAAGGGAAAAATGCAAAACAGCTGCCTACCAAACACAGACAGAACAAATTAGAGTACCACAGTCAGAAAGAGAGGGCACCGGTAGAGTCCAGGAGGAGAAAAGATGCTCATTAAGATTTCTGGAATACCTTTTCTTCCATGTGCTCTGAGCTTGATTTGAGAAATCAGGTGGTTACCTATATACTATCCTAGTATTTTGGTATTTCTTTCTTGATTTGGTAAGTAATGAAACCAACAAATAAAAGAAAAGTGCTGCAGTTAAAGTATCAAAAAGAAGCCTCATACTGCATAAAATAAGTAAGAGCATAATATCTCAAAAAGGTATATTTGGAACAATAGTGTCCTTGAATAGCCTGCAGAACACAGGTCACACATGGTTAAAGAGAAGCACTCCTCAAATAAAGACTGAGTGAGAGTAGAGAAGAGCTGAGAAAAATGAAAGGTATAAGTTCAACGATGAAACACTAAGGAAATATGCTGTGCCCATATTTTGACTCAATGGGGTCAGCACAGACCTCCATCAGGAAGCGATATTTCCCACCACGAGGAGTTCCCAACACCTCTCCTGAGCAATAGTACAGTGATATAGCAAGAGGAGAGGGAAAATAAGGTTCAACATAAGCAATTAATCAGTAACCCAACATTTTGTTTGGGAGGAGGCAACTTGCCTTAGAAGCCAACTGATACAGGAAAGTCTTAGTGTCTGAAACAAGCTTAGAGGAACTGTATCCAGGAGACTGAAGTGGAAACAGAATTAACAGCAAATAGCCGTGATGGCCCCAAAATAAGGAAGAAAGCCATCCCAAGTCAAATGGTGCACAGCAGGAATAGCATGGCAAAGAGAACAAGATCAACAGAGTTGGGAAACACCAGTAAAATATTTCTTTAACATTCTTTGAAAAGGAATAAGAAACTACCATAAATTTCTAATGGCCATCCCTTAGAGATGCATGGTGTAAGAAAACGTAGAGTAAATTTTGTTTAGCACTTTAGAGAGTGTTAAATCATCTTAACACATCTTTAATAAACGTTTAACCTTGGGCTAATGAATTTTCTGGGCTCAGTTTCCTTCTCTTTGAAATGGAACATTATCACACTCATTGAATTATTACAAGGGCTGAATCTATGTTTGGCCGATGCTTGGTCCTTATTACAGCAGTATCAGTCACATGATGAACACTTAATAAATCACTATCATTTTTATTTGACTATCATATCCTCATAAGTGCCCCGTGAACGAATCATTTCCAGTGTTGTCCCACCCAACTGAGTAGAGCCAATATAAAGACTAGTAAAATCAGTTGTGTAACATTCCTCAGAGAATGCTGCTTTCAAAAGCTTATTTCTATTGGTTGAACATACTTAAACACAGAGGATGGTGAAAGTCTATTATGTTACAATCTCGATTTGGGGTATCTATGTTGTCAAAGCAGCTTGGAGCTTACCAGAGTCCTATAACTAGAGGCCTAGAAAAGAAGAGGGATGTTTAGAAGCTTCTCCAAAAGCAACAGGATGAAAGTGCTATTGGCCCTGACCGCATGATGAGGGCTTTTCACCAAAGGGGGAAACAGTCCAGCTGATCATCCCAGCCTAATTGATTAATTGTGGGTCTGACCATCTGGCTGATGAATGCTGACACCCAACAGTGATTGCTGTGTAACACGAATCCGGATGTGCTCTCCCTGATGCCTCCCACAATAATGGCAGCTCTGAACTTGAGCTGAGTGTATTCAGGCCTCTTGGCTCAATCTCTTCATGGAACAGTGACTGTGGCAGGGAATATTTTACTAGACCTGGTCAAGCATGATCTTCTCTGATTTCAGTTACCCCCTCCTTTCCAGATCCACACCTACCCTCTCCTGAACCCTCTCTTGTATATAATCACTTTCCATGCACAGCATTCCATCTGTAGTTTCCATCATACTGTCTGATTCTCTCATTTCCGGTTACTCTATTCAGAAAAATATCTGACTGGTCTAAAAGACTGTATTGCTATTTCACAAGGACTCCTACTGAGACACTCTTATTATATCCACTTTGCCACTGGTTTACTTCAAATGACTGTGCTTCCAAATAAAGAAAATTATTTTACCTAATTCATGAGCCTGATTAAAAGGCCCCCACACATATGGCCCGAGTTCTGCATGAAGTTAATACACTACAAGGGTTAATAGCAGATAGTTCTTACATCTCAAACCTACATCTAACCCTTGATTAGTAGTGTCCCATGAAGAAGATTCTCCCCACAAGTTCTCTGGAGTGAGAAGGTTAAGTGCATGTAAATGACAGGGATCCATAGCAATGCCCCCCACAAACCAATCTACATGGAGCTAACCTGTATGAGAGAGAATTCACTAAGCAAATAAAATCTGAATGCATAGATATAAACTCTGAGGAATTACAACCCAAATATTTTACTATTTTTTTGTGGGAAGTAAACTGACACAAATGTCCTGCACAAGCTTTTCCAACAAGTCACAACAAAGGAGGATCCTCTGTTTCCCCTCTTCTTTCCCCAGACTGATTACCATCTCAAAATTCACCATTCTCCTTGCTCCCCATCTATGCTGAGTTCTTCTGCATTCCAGGCTGGGTCAGTGTTAACTTTCAGTAGAGGATGGCAGTAGCATGCTGAACTGCAGAGTTCCAGACTGGGAGTTGGGAAATGTTTTTGGCCTGACTGTCAGTAAACAACTATGTGTCTAGGGCAAGTCAAGTCCCTTAACTCCCTATGTCTCAGTGTCTTCATTGAAAAATGATAGGGTAGGACTGCATGAACTCCACGGTCTCTGCCAACACAGAGATTCTATGGTTCTATAGCTCATTTCCTTTTTCTCTCTGGCATCAACTACTCAACAACTCTGCTTACAGTCATTTCTCTGCTCTCAGTTCCCGATGGAAAAATATCTCCTTCATTTACTACCCGGTATTTGGTATTTGTAACCTCTCTTTCTTTTTTCGATGCTAGATATTTTGAGTCATAAATATGAACACATCCAGATAGATGCTTTAAATTTGAAGGCGTTTAAGGAGAATAGCTTTCCCATGTAGAACATTTAGTGCAGCTCAGCATGGAGGAAGCCAGCCATCCAAAAGTGGAGCAAAGGGGCCAATTCACAAATGAGAGGAAGCCTTTCATAATAAGAGTCTCTAGACTCTTCAAAAGCTAAATGCTACCAAATTCCAACTACTTTTCTAATCAATCCCAGACACCATCGCAAACACTTAGGACTACAAATTTGAGGGCCAGCACTGGCAGTGATGCAGTTCTTATTTCACCTCCACATGTATTGCCAAGTAGGATTTAGGATGGCATAGTAATAAGAGCCAAGAGGACAATCTGTCATTTATTTTCCTCCAAACTTTTTGAAATTTCCCATTTGAGCTCTGTTTCTCAGTTTTAATTTGGTAACTGCCATTTTTCAGCATTTCTTTTAACAGGTTACTAATAATTTCTGATACAGGATCTCATATTTCATTTTGTGCTGCTATAACTGCTGTTAATATTTCATCTGCCTTCAATTCAGCTCGGAATAAAGGCTGCTGGGTTTTTGATACACTGTTAACACTTTGGTTCTGGGGATTTGATCACCAATGTTCGCCCAATTTGTCTGGATCTTGTTACATGTAAGTAATAGACTGCCTGAATCAGAAATATCTCAGGGTGTGCTATACTAGTACACTCTAGGACTTCTTCGAAGTCTCCTGTCCTGGATCTTTGATGAGAACAACATAATTATTCTGTGTGTGTTTTTTGTTTGTTATTGTTGTTGTTGTTTTTGTTTGCTCAGGCTACTTGCTATCTGCTTCAGTGGTGTTACTCTGGGAGCAGAGTGCAGTGGTTAAGAACCAGGGCTCCCAGGCAGATCTAGGTTCAAATTCTAGTTCAGAAACTTCCTGCAGGTATCACATTAGGCCAGTTCTTTAATCTCCCCAGTCTCTGTTTTCCAATTTTCAAAACAGAAATAATAATAATGTCCACCTCTA